CGTTATTGAAGTTTGAAAAATATCTTCGGCAGAGTTCATTTGTACAAGCCATCACCACAACTGCCAATGTCTTTGTCATGCTATTTGTTATCATAGCTGGTGGATATCTTGGCTTTCAAACCGGTTGGGTTGGATATTCTGTTTCTAGTGGGTAAAGGAAGCTTTTTTTCAAAATTTATGATTTGTGATATTCATTGTTACTTCTAAAATAATTCATCAAAATAATTTAGTTGATCTTTCTGTTGTGTTCTAGATACTTTCCTTATGGCATTAATGGCGTGCTTGCTGGATCAGCAACTGTTTTCTTTGCATATATAGGCTTTGATTCAGTCGCTAGCACTGCAGAGGAGGTACATTTTCTTTATGCTATTTAACTGCATGTGGTGTTAAGAAGAAGAATAGAATGGGAAATGAATACACTAGATTAGATATAGGATTTTTTATTAAAAGCCAACTGAGCACTTAAGGAGATGTGTATAATCAAGTAAAAGGAATTGTTCAAATATCTGCCAAGGGTAAAGAGAAGGATAGGACTGAGAAATAGCTCACGAAGATGGAATATGAAGTATTTATGAATGAGTAAATTCATAAAACCTGCATGAAGTTTTGGGGTTCTTGAACAAAATACCCTGAACTTTATAATTGAGAGAAACCTCCCTGAATACTCAACATTATACTAAACGTCCCGAACTATTAGAAAATCTCATCGATGGCGATAAAGGTAAAACGTTTTGAACTATGACCCGGTTGTTGTGTCTGGAAGTTCCGATACAGCCTGATTATGGTTGTGACTCTCTAAAAAAATATGGAAGAAGGAAGTTAATTTTCAAACTTTTCAAACTCGTGATTCTAATTTTGAAATTTTATTTTACTTTCCTACCCTTACCAGGTAAAAAACCCACAACGTGATTTGCCATGGGGTATCGGATTGGCTTTGTCTACATGTTGCTTCTTGTACATGATGGTTTCTGTTGTTATTGTTGGCTTGGTACCCTACTTTGCGATGGATCCAGATACTCCAATTTCAACTGCATTTTCCAGAAATGGGATGCAGTGGGCAATGTAAGTTGCATGTTCTTTAATGTATATTTTAAAGCATTCTCTATGTCCAATGATCTCATTCCATTTTTTTCCTTAAAAATTTTAGGTATATAGTAACCACTGGAGCTGTTCTTGCTCTTTGTTCCACCTTGATGGGTTCAATTCTCCCCCAGGTATTTTGGATAATTGAGCTGGTTGCAATTTAGTTTCTTTTGTTGTAGTTTAGAATGTAGGGTGATGCTCCTATGCGTTGAAAATTTCATATTTTCATCTTGGAAAATGAAGTAGAAGAGGCTTGGGCTATCTCAGAGCCTTAAAAAGTACATAACAAATGTTTATGGAAGGTCAGGAATTTAAGTATAAGTTTCTCTCAAAAGAAAAAGAAAATGAAGCGTATGTATCTTTTCACATTACGATTTGACCTGCAAATAATAGTAACGTATCATGATTATTCATGTTTAGATATGCTAGATTTCTAATCAGTGAAATCTAAGAACTATATGCAACATACGTGCAGAAACATATATGTGATTGTTTGGTTTAGCTTATATTTTTCCTAAAGAAGACACCTCCTTGTCTATGATATAAATTGCATTCACATTTGAAATTTCAATATATGAAGCATATTTTACACATTTTAAAAAACAACCAAAGTACGCACAGATATATTCCTCAAGGATAATGCAACTTCTAAAATTAAATGAAGTTTTATTTATGTCTTGTATTATAACAGCCTAGAATACTGATGGCGATGTCTCGAGATGGATTACTGCCGCCTTTTTTCTCAGAAATTAATTCCCATTCACAAGTACCTGTCAAGAGCACTGTCTTAACAGGTATTGGCGCAGCCATTCTAGCTTTCTTCATGGATGTTTCAGAATTAGCTGGAATGGTAAGTTATATGATTGGATAATTTATCTCTTCATTAAAAACTTGGGTTAATTGTGGATAGACCCCCTGTAGTATCGCCCAATTGCAGACACACCGTTGTAGTTCTATTGGTGCAGTCCTGTAGTATTTTGTACAAAGTGTGGACAGGCCCCTTTAGTGAATTTTTTAGACTCTTTTAAGTGTCAAGAAAATTGCAACTGGGGGTTGATAAGCACTAATAAAACTACAAAGGGTCTATCGACCTCTATAAAACTTCTTTTGGCTCTTTTAAGAATAAAAAAAGATTCACTTAGGGGGTCCATCAGCACAATTAGAACTATAGTGGGTGTTTCCACAATTGGGCAAGACTAAAGCTGATCTTTCCGCAATTAACCCTAAAAATTTTGGTTCTCATTGTGATATAATTCTTTTATAGGCTTCAACTGAGCAAAGTGTAAATATCATGTCATGAAAATGATTGCTTAATTGCAGATAAGCCACCCTGTACTATCACCCAACTGTGGTAAGCAGATACACCTAAGAAGAAATTGTCTTTGACAACCTCTTGGTGGATAAAAGCATAAATCACTCAGGAGGTCTATCTGCAACAATAGAAGTACAGGCTGTCTGTAATTGGGCGATAGTAGAGGGGGTCTATATCCGCTTTTAACCTTAAAATGATTGAAATTTAACAAAAAATACTCATGACTTAAATATGCTACATTTCATAGGTCAGCGTTGGGACACTTCTTGCATTCACTATGGTTGCAATTTCTATATTGATACTTAGATATGTTCCTCCGAGTGAAGTTCCTCTGCCGTCGTCATTTCATGAATCAATTATCTCAGTGTCCTCAAGATATAGTGCTCAAGAAATTGATGTAGAAATCAAGGAAGATAGCAAGCAAGTTCTTGATATGGAACCATCGGCTGTGTGTCCTCTTATTGGGAAGGAAGTTGTTCAGGGTGAGATGAAATAGATATAAGCAAATGGGTCATGGTGAATTTCATACATTTAATTAGAGAATATTATTTAAATGTTGTCTTCATGAAGTTGGTAATTTAATGTGAGCATAAACCATAACCATCAACCTAGTTCAAATTAATTGTCACTTCTTCCTAATAAAGTTTACCTCTACATTATTTGCCTCCAAACTTTTCCATATTCATGTAATTTGACAATTTAGTTCTTTAACTTGTGCAACTCGTAATTTTGTTACTATTTTCCCTTTATTACTATATTTGTTCAAAAAAAATTTTTTTGCCCCATTTGAACTTGCTAAATTCTATATTGCAGATAAAGCAAATGAACAAGAAAGAAGAAAGAAAGCATCATGGAGCATTGTATTTGTGTGCATTGGCGTTCTCATCCTCACTTCTTCAGCTTCAGCCTCATTTTTACCTTCGTGAGCCCTTTTATCACCTTTACTCAAAATTTCAAGAGATTTGTAAAGTTTGAGATGTCCGTGGTCACACCGTACAAACACTTCTAATGACTCTTTCCTTTTTTACTACGAAAATTTATTTAGCCCCGTCCAATATGTTGCTTGCTCTGTTGGTGGCTTGCTCCTACTGAGTGGTCTATTTGTTTTATCATGCACTGACCAAGATGATGCAAGGCACAGTTTTGGACATGCTGGAGGTAAAGTACAATATCAGTATTCCAATCAGTTATTTTCATTTAGCACGAACGAGTAGAACATGAATATTTGATTTTTATTTATTTATTTATTTGGCTCTTTTCCAGGATTCATTTGCCCCTTTGTTCCATTTCTGCCAGTTTGCTGCATCCTCATTAATTCCTACTTGCTTATAAATCTCGGGTAACATTTTTACTCTCTGTTATTGTTATTATCTCTTTCATATTCTTTTATACATCTCTGTTGAAGCTATCATATTCGTACTTGGCAATCTATGTGCTTCATGTTTATTTACGTAATTTTACTCATATACTTATCATTTTTTGCGTGAAATACCCAAGTGCTTCACTTACCCATCACTCACAAATTAGCTGTACAAACTTGTGAATTATTGAATAATCTGTAATAATTGGTTGTTTCCTGGCATACCTAATAAAAGTTAGAAAATAATAGAAGCATTACTTTGATATTTTTGTACTTCAGATTTTAAACAACTGCACTTATAGAAAATTGAATGGTCCTTGAAGATAAGGTTACCAGTTTAAATTTCTCTATCTGATTCAGTTGTTCATTTAAAGTTCTCTTATTATCTATAGGCAAAGAACAAGATGCCCTACAAGAATAATATTCATATTCTCAGCCAGTTAAATGACATGTATATATTCTTACTTTGACAGTGCTAGTACCTGGATGCGCGTTTCAATATGGCTCGTGATTGGGGTTCTTGTGTATATATTCTATGGTCGAACCCACAGCTCATTGACGGACGCGATCTATGTACCCTCAGCCCATGTCGATGAGATATGTAGAACTGCATCACGAAGTACAGTTTAAAGAAATGCTTTTGTAATCTGTGTAAAAAGGAAAAAAATTGTATCATGTATTATTGCATCCTCATTCATATACGCTTCGATTATCATTTTATGTATTTGTACATAAATGATTGGGTCAGGCTTTGATTAATCCTTGCATGAAGAAATGTATGTAGTTTGAACATGTTATCGTGGGTGCTAAAAGTTTGTGATCTCTGAAAACGGAAAATTCTGAACGGTTCAATGTTTTTTAATCTTTGGATTGGAATGGACAGGATAGGGAGGGTAATTAGCATGTTAAGTTTATTTTGTTTTAGCTCTTATGTTCCATTTAACATTGCATAGGTTATTTCTTGATTTGAACATGCGAAATAATGATTTCAACCTTTGATCATATGTACACTTTGACTCATTTGCTCCATTCACTAGAACCCTATATGAAGCGGATTCGTTCTAGAATAAACCAATTGGAAAACACTAAAGAGTGCACAATGAAAACGAAAAGGAAAAATTAGTGTTAAGAGAGAAAGAAAGCTATATCAAGCGTGTTAATCCTTTCTCATTATTTAGATCAATGATGCTAGTTCAACACAAGGCCTCTAAATATTATTACATCAAATAACAACACATGAAATAATTAGTTGGTAAAATAGTGATTTAATTTCTCCCATATAAATGTAAAAAAAAATGTTTGTTACAAACATCACATGACTTGATTTCGATCAAGGAGGTCACTTATATTTCGCTCATCAGTTATTTCACAAGATGCTTTCTTCTGAGTGCAATTTTGCTCAACTGTAAATTCGTTATTCACATAGCTCCTCTGAGTGGAGTTGTATGCTGGGCAGAAAACCCTCCAAGATGTACGGATTTATTCTTTTGGATGGTTAAACCACAAATAAATAAATAAATACATAATTACAAAGCGGAGTTCACATAAGAAAATTAGTGCTGGAAGTTTTCTAGAAACAAAGTAAGCATTCCTGCAAGCAAACAAATGATGGAAAAAAGCGAATATTATCTTCCCAATATACCAGAAACTAATTGAAGCATGTGATGCACGTATAGTTCCATTTGGTGATCGAGCACTGGATAAGTTCTGCAAAGATAAACAAGTAACATAAATGAAATGTCAATGATTAATAGATTTGAATGTTTTTTATAATCAAATTGATAGCTTTGAAGTTCTGTAACAATCACTTTTCTTATTTTCAGGGTAGCGCATTTTTGCATAATGATATAGAGCAGTCAGAGCTTTAATTTTAGCATAGTAAACAAATTTCCTAAGCAAGGAGGGTGTGCCCCTTAACAATAATAAAATATTTTTCTCATGCCCAGTCATAAGCATTTTAATTAGAAAAACACTAATTGAGAAAAGTATTCCAGTTTTTAGCTTTGCACGAGTTGAAGAACTTTTCCTACTTATCTTGGGCTGAATAGGTATGTGCAAGCAGCAAGCATGCCATCATATTACACTATTCTTGACGAAGGTCTTCATATGTCAATATTTGTATGAAGGAAGATGGCCCTGAACTAGGTTTTGGCACAATACCACCTGCAGAGCAATATCAAAGACAAATTCCATGTTTTTTAAAGCCCCTATACCCTAATGGATTAGTGGAAAGGCAATGAAATTCAAGGTGATAGGATCATTGGGGACCTCAACTGAGGCACTAGCTTTCAGCTATTTGCAACTAGAGAATGGCTCTCAAGTCCTTGTTCAAAGAGGAGTGCATGTAGATATGGCAATTAAGGATAAGAGTTTGGAGATGGGATAAATCCTGTAATTTTAGTCTAGGTACATCCATCGCCACCATTGAATGCATGTAATTTAGAAAGTAAGAGGTTCCACCAAACTCAGGTCATTCGTAGCGTTAGCCATAAACATGTCATGTTTCCTCATAAATTGTTCAAAAGACTCTTGACATAAAACTCAAAGAACAACATATTAGCCTACAAAGTTTTTGTTAGCGTGACCCTGATTTTTACCCCAACTGTAAAATAAAACCTTTTTCAGAAACAGAACGTCAATCTTTTTTCTTCCTATTCTCTATGTGTACACTAACAACCTAGTATGAAGGGGTATCTATTACGACTTACAAGAGTGTTACAAGAATATGCTAAAAAGATTGGAAATAACATACCATGGTATTAGAAAATCTCTTTGATATCTGCTGCATCGGTTTTGCTTCTCCAAATCCTAATTCATAAAATATCGATTTTAGGTAGGGATACTCGACCCGACAGAAAATTCATGAAGCTAAGGGTATATGCAGAATTACAGTAAATATCATCTGAGTTACCTCTTTCAGTAACTGTCTGTAACTTCCACTCTTTGCCATAATTGACAAGAGTTGCATTAGGACCAAAAGTTATAGGCTCTTCCCCTTCTTTGCAAGCCTCAATATATAAGGCTGGTGAAGCCCCATTTTCTATCTTCTTGTTTATTACGCACAATGCAAATCCCGCTTCTGTTCCAGCTGCAAAGCGTCTTATCTTACCTGAGCTCGTGCAACAAACCTCCATAAACTGCTGAAAAAAGTTTGAATATCATGATTCTTCTATGTTATCATCCAGAAAGATCAACATCAATCTTAAAATCGAATAGATGTAAAAGGTCTAAATTACCAAATTGGTATATTTAGCGGCATGTCTTTACCAATATGGTAAATTTCTCCGGCGATAATAAAGTATAAAAAGTGACCTCGTCATCGAACTGTCGAATTGTTCATGTGAACCGATTCCCGATACATTTACGAACCGATTCGCTTTGATATGAATTTGTTCCCCATAATTAGCGTACTGCTTACTAAGTATGAGGAGACCAAAGTTGATTTACAAGTACGTTTTCATGCAAATGCGCTTGGATTGTATTTTATGTTTGATAATATTATTGAAAGTATTCTTTTAGTAAGTGGAAGTTATCCAAAGTAATAACTAGTTCTAGATCACTATTTCTTTAACTGATGTTGCTAAGAAGATTTTGTCACGGCCTATTAGTAGCTCTTCAACTGAGAGAAATTGGAGTACTCATTCCTACATACATAGTGTGAAAAGTAATAGAAGAACAGTGGAAGGGTGGATAAGTTAGAATTTCATCCATTCAAATATTAGCCTTCTGTCACGATTTTGTGAGAATTACAAAGTGAGTCCATACAAATAATGGGATATGGATCCCAATAATAATAACTTGGATGACTCTTCAAGTAAGTTGGAAGAGGTTAAATAGAATTGTTTGGACTCGGAATTAGCAAAGGATGCACTTGGCGTTAAGGGGATGAAAGTTGCAAAATAGAAAAAAATTATTAACAGGCTGTCTAATAATATTTTAAGTTTCATGTATTCAAAAACTATAAAAATGAAGTATTGAAGTATTTTATATGAAAAATATTGAAATGCATAATTAGTTTTCTAGTTTCTAATTTTCTACTATACACTTTGAAAAATGATAAGCGTATCTAAAAAATTTACATCGAATCCTATATCGAACTAGCTTATCGAAGCAAGCTACCCCTGTCGAATCCAAAATTTTAAAGTTTTGAATTGCGTACCCGAATTCATACGACGACCCCTTACGTACTGTGAACCATGTAACTATGGACCTCATGCAGCCAATAAAACCTATCCAGTCGTCGGTGGCGATCAGTAAATTAAGGGGGTTTTGCATAAATTCCCCTCAAATTTCCCATATTTACAAAATTACCCTAAAAGTTTGAATTTTTGCCAAAAAAAACAAACTTAACATATCTCTCGGTCTCTCTCTCACCTCCCACCTCAACTACACCACCTCCTCCTCCTTTTCCACCATCACTCCCCTCCTCTCTCCTCTTTACCTTCCACATCCACTCTCTCCATCTCTCACCTATCCCTCTCCCCTCCCCTCTCCCACCTCAAATAGCAGATGAAGGAGGTGAAGAGGGGAGCGGAGGGAGGGGAGGGGGAGTGACTGTGGACGAGGGAGAGGGAGGAGATATAGTGGGAGGGGAGGTAAGAGATAGATTAAGAATAGAGATGTTGGGTTTTTATTAACAAAAAATCAAGATTTAAGGGTAATTTTGGAAATATGGGAGATTTGAGAAGCACAAATGCAAAAAAAACCTAAAATTTCTGCTCAAATCTCGACCAGTGATTGGATAGGTCTTATTGGCAAAACGAGATCACTTTTTATACCCTATCGTCGCCGGAGTCAATAGATATACATTATTAGTAAGAAGGTGCCACTAAATATACCAATCTTATAATTTAGCCAATGTAAAAAGTCATACCAAAATATATAAGTGCCATATAAGTAATAAAAGCAAAGCTTTCCTTAAAAGAAAAAATCCTAAAGAAATTAAAGATGCTCGCAAACCTCAGACAATTTAATTTGGGTAGACATAGTTTCTCGATCATGGTTCCGAAATCACATAACAGACTGTATGCATCACTGCCAAATGTAGGCGATCTAATAGCCTGACGCCTGTAGGCGAACCATTATCTCCCTCAGACCCCACCTCATATTCACACATATACACAACCTATATAAGGGTTACATCATTGTTGGTTGGCTATTTTTCTTTCAATTAGGGTGCAAGCAATTCAAGCTTTACAATGAGGCAAAACGGTATCATCAAGGCAATAATTATGGACATACACATGAAACATCGACTTTGAAACAGAACACAACTCCTCAGAAGTATGATGCAATGACACAGCAAAATGGCAATAGAATATATGATAAATAATAAAGAAAGTGCTTACATGTTTTAGCCTATCATACATTTCTTTGCAACTTCATGGAAGGAAATAGTCCCTAGCTCTTCAATTCTCTATAAAGTATGTAATGTGTCACTTGTCACTTGTTATATAGAAAAATATTTAAGTCACTTGTAGTTTGATCATACAAGATAACTTATTAATGGTCTCTTCCAATAAAATGTATTTCTATGATAACTTTGTACCCCCAATATTTTTATAAGTTCTATAAGTGGCATTTACCCAAATAAATAAGTCAAACATGTACCACGAACAAGAAATATAATTTAAGTGCAAAACGTATGACAAAAAAGTGTCCAACAATTGTCCTAATTGAAAGTGTATTATCTAATTGCAGTCACAAGTGTAAGGCACATGTATAAGGCATGTACAAAGTCATATCAGCTACCAACATGGGTATCTGCATGGCAGACATGAATATGACTTCATTATAGAAGCGTCTATGCTACAACCATCAAATGGCGACTTTAATCCAAATTAAATTTCTGTTTGCACAATCAGTTAGATAGTTTGATAATATAATGGATGGCATCACCAACTTACGAATATGCAAATAATATAAAATGAGGATGAGTTTCTTCCTTCTCGAGTCTCAATCTTTTGGGTAATAAATCACTAGCAATTACTAACCAGAATATTCGATGGAAATAGAACATAAATAAAACCTAATAAGGTGAGTGAATTGGTTCCAAGAAAGTAAGAAAATAATCAATGGTACCTTATAAGAAACTCTAAAGAAGCAAGAATCAACAAGAAACCCTTTGAAACTGGTGGCAGCTTTACAACTTCTAATGAGCATTCTTTTTCAACACAAGTGATGGATGAAGCCTATCATACTTTATTAATAAGATCACAATCAATCATGATATTTGGTATCTTCTTAATACAACAAGAAGGTTAGATATGATGCTTGAAACTAGTGTATGGTTTAGCTCACACAGATTCCAGGTCAACTTGGCATTCATCATTTCTCATCAAACCAATTACAGGCTCTCCCATAATACAGAAAAAGGAATCGTGATAGGTGCCGCCTCAACTATTCAACAGAAGATATCCTAAGTTATGCTAGTTGATGTTTCATGATATATAAGTTACTTACTGGAATAATGCTCATGGTCTTGAGTATAGTATAAGTTACTTACGGTAATAGTGCTCATTGTCTGAGTCCAAATCCTTAAATCGTTATATACATAACAAAAAAATTGTTTATCCAATTTCTTTTAAGTCAACTCTGATCCTTTCTCAGCATTCAGGAGCTCACTTGGGTCCTTGTCACCATGGGTGCTGCACATTCTCGGTTCTCTGTTGCATTCCATGTGTCCTTTTTTGATACCAAACCCTCTGAAGGACATTCATTCCTGATTTCAGTATTTTCTGCTTAGCATTACCTATGTGCAAAATAAATTAAAAAACTTGGTTATTAGATATTAGTTCCTAAGGCCCTACCCATACCCTGGTCTCAGCTACTTAACAAAGCATTATCTTAATTAAAACCAAACTAGTGGAATCCACTTTCAATACCTAAAGAAAATATCCAGGAGTCATATGATCTTTTACTTATCAACATTTTACACGATTCGTGTTTGTGATTGACATTTACATACACAAATGCAAGTATGGATCCCATCTAGGAGGAGTCATACATACAGCACAAGCAACAAATTCAAGTTTTTAGATCCAGTGATTTACCATATAAACCCTTTGAAAGGGTCTCATCATGATTCAATGCCTAAGGATTAGAGAAATTGGAGCATCAAATTAAGAGGCAGGCAAAGAAAATAAAAGAGTGAAATCCCAACAACTAGGATGAACTTAGCTGGTTTTTTATGCTACTGCAAGCTAAGTTGCATGGGTAAGGGTACAGGTACACATATGGGTACGGGGTATGACAAATTTGTAAAATGTAGGGTACATTGCATAATTATACAGTATGCCATACATAGCAGGTCGTGGTACGAATTCGCATTCGCAATTTGCCACTTAGAAAATTTCGATTCGATGGGGATAGCTTGCTTCGGTACGCAAGTTCGGTTAGTGACAGTTGTAAACCTTTTTTGGGTGTGCTTACTATTTTCCGAAGTGTATAATAGAAAACTTGAAAGCTAATAATGCATATCAATATTTTTTCGTACGAAACACTTCAATGTTTCTTTTTTATAGAGGTCATTTTTTGTTCTGTTTTTCTTTTCACATAATTCATGTTAGGCTCATCATTTCATTTCATGCTTTATTATCAGAGGTATTTAGTTATAGTAAAGTTACTGAATCATATACTCTTGAGACTCCCTTTCACTTGATTGTGCTATTGCATTCCATCTTGCACCTGTGCACTTTAAAGGGACGTTGCACCCCCACATACTTCTAAGTGGTACGCTAATTTGGGGAACCAATTCGTGCATTGAGGGGAATTGGTTTGCAAATATATCGAGTTTGGTTCGCGGGAATTGTACAATGATTAGAAGGGGGTGAAAGGAACCGCGCAACTATGGTACAGGAACATGGCTATATAAATATTTATATACATTAAATTATATATTGGAAAAATAATTTAAATGATAACAAGAGTGAGATTTAAAATTCCTATAATATTTTATGTTTTTTTAATCATGTGAGACTATAAAATGAAAAATTACAAGTTTTTGAACTATACATCCAATTGACTTCAAAATCATAATCGGAGCCCGACCTATGTCCAACTAGTTTCACGAAGTGGATGTAAAGTGTAGGATATATGTATGAAAAATATGACAGTATTTTAAATTAAAACATGTATTGCATAATTGAGTACATACCCGAATAAAATGTATGCTTATATGCAATGTATGCATATATGCAAGGAGTGTCCAGGGAGTTTTGGTACGGGTACAGGTACGTGTCAGGTACGGGTATGGCTTCAAATTAGAAGTACCTATGTAACATAGATTGAAAGTTACCAACTGAGAGGTCTTTAATTGGTTAAAAAGAGGAAATAAAGGATAAAAGGTGGGAGAGGTGATCATGGGTTTGGACCCAAGAGGCACGCAGCTGTGACATTCTTTAAAATGATATTTCTAGTTGTAGGGGTTGCAGGAAGTTGCAACCACTAATACAAATCCATTTTTAACAATTTGATGCATGTCATGTGCTCTTTTTTTTATCTCAAACCTAACATGTGAATTGCACTCATTCCTAATCTTCATTCTTTCTTATTTTGAATACTCAAGTAAGTTCTTACATATGGCAGTACTGCACATAACACTCGTCAATTTGACAAAACAAAATCATTCTTGGTTGACTAGGGTCTAAATGTAATCCAGCATCATCAACCTTAAGAGTTCCTTAGTTAAAGAGGCAAGCTCATGGAACCCCACTTTGAATACCTACAATAAATTCTAGACTCGTTAAAGTGACAATAAAAAGGAGAATCATGTACTTTTTGCAGGAGTTATTTGAGGAGACTCAAACACCTTATTTTTGGTGTGGCAGATGGGTTTATAAGGCATTCCTCTAGAGCATGTTCAACAACTTACTTATTCTGACTTATAAGGAGCTTTTTACTTGTAAGGTACCAATATGATGTTTGGTGAGGGTTAACTTTTTTACTTATTTGTTACTTATAAGTAGGGGGAAAATAAGTTCAGATTTCCCAACTTATTTTTTTCCCTTACATATACCGAACTTTCCTTATTCAAACCAAAAGACAATTCCCAAAAGAAACAAGGGTTAACTATTTTTTATTATAAACTGATTAATATTATTAATTAATAGTTAAGTAATTAATGAATTTATTAACAAATATTTTTCTCAATATGAAATTAAATAATCTCAATATTAATAATAATCACAAATAATATAATGTATACAAATATTTTAATAAAATATATTTCTTCTTATGAGATAGCTAACTTTTAATTAATTAATTATTTTATTAATATGAAATTAATTAATTAATCACAATATTAGTAATTAGAAATCACAAATAATGTAATATATAAAAATATTTTAATCAAATAAATTTATTATTATGAGATAACTAATTTTTAATTTATTAATACGAAATTAATTAATTAATCACAATACTAGTAATTAGTAATCACAAATAATGTAATATATAAAAATATTTTAATAAAATATATTTATTATTATGAGACGACTACTTTTTAATTTATTTATTAATTTATTAATAATAATTTTTTGTTACAATTAAATTAATTAACTAATCTCAATATTAATAATTAATAATCACAAATAGTGTAATATATAAAATATTTTAATCAAATACATCTCTTATTATGAGCTTACTAATTTTTAATTAATTAATTATTTTATTAATATCAAATTAATTAATTAATCTCAATATTAGTAATTAGAAATCACAAAGACTTTAATATATAAAAATATTATTATTAGTTAATTAATTAATTTATTATTAATAACATTTACATTAATATGAAATTAACTAACTGATCTCAATGTTATTCATTAATAATCATAATTAACTTGAGATAATCAGTTTTTAGTTAATTAATTATTTAAATAATTAATAATATTAATTACCTAGTTAATATAAAATGAATTAATTAGTCACAACATGAGATACAATAAAATGTCTTTTTTGGTCATTTGACATTTAACACAACCTTCTAAGTTATTGGTTTACTAAATGGCTAAAATATCATATTATAAAGTGATACTCATTTTCCAATAAAGTGACACAACCTTAAAAGTTAGCGTATAAAATGACATTCACTTTCTAATAAGGTGTAAATATTGACTCCTATGATAATAAGACCTTAAAATTGACACGCTTAACCAATAAGGTCTACTCTAGTCACTGGATTATTAATTTGAGCGGGAAAATTAAGGATTTTTGCACATACACCCCTCAAATATTCTTCACGTATAGATTTGCCCTCTCAAATTCAAATATTTGCAAAACCATCCAACTTTCCCCTACCCCTCCCCTCCCCCCAAATCCTTCTGTCCTCCTGTCTCCTACTCCCTCTTCTATTTTCCTCCTTCCCAAATCTTTACCCTCACCTCTTATCTCTCCTCCAAGCTTGCCTCTCTTTTAACATTTCTCTCATCTCACTCTTCTCCTCCCCTTCCCTCCTCTCCCTTCCTCTCTTCTATCTCCCATAAAACATTTATCATAAGCAGAGGGAGTGGAGGAAAGGGTAGAGAGAAGGGAAGTGAAGAAAAGGGGAGGAAAGTGAGGAGAGTAAAGGTAGAGAAGATGGGTAATGTAAGTGAGGAGAGAGTCGGATTTTTTTCAAATAATTAAATTTTCGAAGGCAAATCTGTAAGTGTGGAATATTAAAGGGTATATATCTGAAAATCCTTAATTTTGACACTCAAATTAAAGATCCGACAACTACAGCAGGTCTTATTGATTGACTGTGTCATATTATAGGTCTTATTGTAGCCAACATTATATTTTAGGCCTTATTGGAAAATGAGTGTCATTTGATAGCCTCATAGGGTATTTTAGTCTTTACTAAAAACATAACTCCTAACATATCCTTATAAGTAAAAGGGTTTGCCAACCAACTTCCTCATTTTTTTAACATACAAGGAGTAATAAGTAATAAAATAAGTAGTAGCCAAACATATGCTCTTATGAAGGTTGGCAATTTTGATGTTTTTCTTGCTTCTTAAACATAAATTACTATGTTGGTTTGTCCAACGTCGGTTTGTCCAACCCCACATCCTAGTAGAGCGATTAAAGGGTTGTTTGGATGATTTCCCTAAAAATAGAAAAGGGAAAATTGCTTAGAGGAACTTCCAAAACTAATGTTATGCATCCTCCTCCCTAGCCCAAAAAACCATGCTCCCTAACCCTTGTACTGAAACTTTAGTGCAACTACCTCCTTAACACTGTAGAAATCCACTATCCAATAAATCTATTCAAAATTACCCTTCCCATTTAAAATAAAAAATCACATTTTCTCTCACCTTCTTCCCTCTTCTTTTTTGAAATCATCTGCAACTACTTTTTCTTATCACTCTCTTCTTCTCAAGATCCCACTCCATCACCGCCATCGACGAGGATCCCGACAGCCGACACCGCAAGCTGTCCGTCGTTGACCCTTACAGTTTTGATCCATCTTCTTCAACGCTCCTTGATTGTCTTCGCTTCGTCGTCACCCCCCCTACGGTTAGAATAAGAAAGCTCGTCATCGTCTTCACTCCGACAAGGACCCCATCGACTGCAAGCTCGACGTTTGCAGACTCGGATTGAAGTTAGATGTAGATAATCCTGAATTAAGAAGCTGGGATTGAAATTAGATGTAGATAATCCTGAATATCTTTTATATTTTGTAGATAATGATGTACCAATGATTGAGTAAAAGTATTAGACAAACACATACAATATAATTCTATGTTGGATATGACTAATTTCTTTGTAAATTTTGAGACTTATGGTGACAATGATGAAATGTGCATTTGTGATTACTCTATAAACTTTTCTTTAGCATATTACATAGAATCTGAAGGTATAAAGCTTACAAGTATCACAGTTAATACCAATAAATCACACAAACATATTTAACATATAAATGTCATAACAAAATGATAGAAATAACATATAATAGACAACAACCCCCAAAAGAGCTTTAATTCTGCCAAAAATGTTAGTCCTGGATAGGTTCAGTGCATGCGGCTCGGTTATGTCCTTTAGTGTGACACATTAAGCATTTAACTGGACGTCTATTCTCAGATTAGTTGTTAATAAGTCTAATCTTACTTCTTCCACATCTCTTTATCGTCTTGGGGGAAGTATGTCAACTGTTTCATCCGTGACATTTGGCTTATTGTAATTTGGAACAGGAAAGAGAATGGGTTAATAACTTTTCTTGGAAGCTTTAGTCATTATGAACCAATCGCAATACGGGTACACATCTCTATACATGAAGATAATAGCAGCACATACACATGTTTACTGGTACACATCATTAACTTTTACTAATTTTTGAGTTGATACCTCAAAGATTTCAACAAATAGGAAGTGTTCTCCCCACACAAATCCAACTGTTGAAAGATTCGGCAATATTGAAAGTGATATGGCTCTATATGTTCTTCCCTCTTCTTTTTTGAAATCATCTGCAACTACTTTTTCTTATCACTCTCTTCTTCTCAAGATCCCACTCCATCACCGCCATCGACGAGGATCCCGACAGCCGACACCGCAAGCTGTCCGTCGTTGACCCTTACAGTTTTGATCCATCTTCTTCAACGCTCCTTGATTGTCTTCGCTTCGTCGTCACCCCCCCTACGGTTAGAATAAGAAAGCTCGTCATCGTCTTCACTCCGACAAGGACCCCATCGACTGCAAGCTCGACGTTTGCAGACTCGGATTGAAGTTAGATGTAGATAATCCTGAATTAAGAAGCTGGGATTGAAATTAGATGTAGATAATCCTGAATATCTTTTATATTTTGTAGATAATGATGTACCAATGATTGAGTAAAAGTATTAGACAAACACATACAATATAATTCTATGTTGGATATGACTAATTTCTTTGTAAATTTTGAGACTTATGGTGACAATGATGAAATGTGCATTTGTGATTACTCTATAAACTTTTCTTTAGCATATTACATAGAATCTGAAGGTATAAAGCTTACAAGTATCACAGTTAATACCAATAAATCACACAAACATATTTAACATATAAATGTCATAACAAAATGATAGAAATAACATATAATAGACAACAACCCCCAAAAGAGCTTTAATTCTGCCAAAAATGTTAGTCCTGGATAGGTTCAGTGCATGCGGCTCGGTTATGTCCTTTAGTGTGACACATTAAGCATTTAACTGGACGTCTATTCTCAGATTAGTTGTTAATAAGTCTAATCTTACTTCTTCCACATCTCTTTATCGTCTTGGGGGAAGTATGTCAACTGTTTCATCCGTGACATTTGGCTTATTGTAATTTGGAACAGGAAAGAGAATGGGTTAATAACTTTTCTTGGAAGCTTTAGTCATTATGAACCAATCGCAATACGGGTACACATCTCTATACATGAAGATAATAGCAGCACATACACATGTTTACTGGTACACATCATTAACTTTTACTAATTTTTGAGTTGATACCTCAAAGATTTCAACAAATAGGAAGTGTTCTCCCCACACAAATCCAACTGTTGAAAGATTCGGCAATATTGAAAGTGATATGGCTCTATATGTAAATAAATATTATATGTATCAAACAGAAATTCACTATCACAAAGTACATCAATGTGTCACATACAATCGAGAAATGTCACAAGGAATAAAAAATTGTCATAGAATACAGATAGAAGTCACAATCAATACAGTAATATCACATGCTACTTGTAAAGGTCATACATAACAGACAATGGTCGTATATAAAAGCATAATGTCACATGTAAAGAGCAATGACCTATATTCCTTGAGAAACCCCTAAATGCATGCATTATAGGACACAAATAAACGATTGAATCACATTTCTTGTTCAATGATGACGACACTGCTTGGGTTTGTTTCCATCACCTTTATTTTGTACCTTTAATTGATGATTAAAAGTACAAATAACTTATTACATGATGAATAAGTTCTAACTGTCACATGTAAGACGTGAATGTCACATATAAGGTCTAAATGTCACATTTAAGACCAAAATGTCACATTTAAGGTCAAAAGGTCACATATAAAACCTAAATGTCACATATGACCTCTAAACATCACATATTATATTTATACGTCACATAGCATTCTGAAATGTTACATTTAAGGTTAATGGATCACATTTAACAAATTAATGGACTAACCAAGAAAGTAAACCATATGAATGTCTTGCTCAATCAAATATTTGGTCTTTTGCTGTCTCTTTAGCACGCCAAGCTTTAGAATAATTAACTTTTAAATCATATTAAGAGTACAATTCCTTTCTAATGTCAATTGGGTTGATAGATGAACGGGTCGTCATAATTGATTGTGACATACTCGCAATTCACCTTCTCGATGCTCTAGAATGACCAGTTGTACTGTTATGTTGTCTGCAAGTATATTGAGGAACTAATTTTTTATAGCAAAGGCTGACACATGGCTCAATAGTGGAGCATAAAGCACCTACGGGCATTTTGTTTCTTTTCTGAACATTTAAATAGCACGAATGTGTTTTGGCTCATTGTTAACATATTTAAACAGAACTTATTAACTATAGAGTAGTATATAAGAGCTATTCTAACTTCTTTTGCGCTCTCAAATTGTCGTCCTTTTTCACTAATTGCCTCGTACCACCATGCCAGGATTCCTATCGAGTCACTTACTATGTCATCCATTATTCATACATACTCTCTTTGAGGATTGTCACTTAGGATCCTCTCTGATTCCTGGATATGCTTTGATGATTGTGAGTTTACAGGAAGAAACTGCAAGTTAATATAACATACATATATCACGTGTGGTAATTACAAATAACTGTTAACTTGTATATGTTACAAATAAAGTTGATATGTCACGTGCAATATCTGTAGGTCACATATAAGACGTAAACATCATAGTTCCCATTATAACGTATATACAGGATCTAAAAAGAATCTTTTGAACACTTAAACTCTGTTTCTGTACCTGTTTATGTCACAATGACATGTGTAGGTCCTTCATCTCTTTCAGTAACAGTCATGGTTATCGTGTTTAACCCCATTAAACGATGATAATCTATCATGTTGAGAATATCTTCATATTTAGAAGATTAAATGAGACATTAGGAAACTTCTCAAGAGAGTAACTTATTAATAAACTTTCATACTGTACTTTTAAATTCTCTATAGCATGCGTCTTCAATTCAACTAAACTTGTTGCAAAATTGACTTTAATGAGGGTTGCATTGGTGTTTAGCGAAATTATATATATTAAAGATTTTTTCATTTTGATTGTTGGAGAAGTTAAGAGGAAAGAGTTAAGAGTATTTTGGTTATTGAAGGTTGTTGAGTAGAATCTAAAGAGGGAAGAAAATATTACCTTGATATGGGACATTATTTGGAGGGAACTTAGTATGTTTCCCTCCAATTTTTCATTTCCCTTCAAAAAATCTCTCTTAGCCATTAATGTCATTCTTCTCTCTTCTCACACATCACTTTTTATTGTACAATGTAATGAGGGGCTACCTAATAAAACAAAATTTTGACACTCTACAAAATGGTACAAAAAGGTAAACTGGGCAATACTTTAAAATATAGTATAAGAACTTTATACAATGTTGGGCTAGAGGTGTTTTATCATAGAAACTTGGGTCAAAGAGCTTGAATGAGTTTGACTCTAGTTAGGGGTAGGGAGTGCATAACTTTTTGAAAGTTGCTTACTCCAAGCAATGTTCCCAAAAGAAAAACCTAACAAAGAAACCTGCTAAATAGGTTTTCAAGTGATTTCCTTTAAAAATCTCCGAAATGAGTTTCCTAGAACTGGAGTCATATCAACCAATGGGAGGATGCCACCTCACTCCCGCTCTTGATTTCAAAGCGGGAACCAAACTGAAGAAAAGGAAAAAAAATTAGAAAATGGATTTCATATAATGTAGTTTCTCGGTAATTTGGCCAACCAAACAGGAACAATCAACATTCAACTATCAATCAACATAAAGTAATTGTTATAAATTTAGAGACCTTGACATTTAAATCCATATAACAAGTATAATTATGAGCACAATATTCAAAACATATATCTTTCTTTTCTATTTTGTTTAGAGTGTTGATCTTTTATATTTATACTAATAGGAATTAAACACATGTTACATATTATTAGAATTATGCTAAACATATTTTTAGCTTATTCCTTTATTCTCTTAATCACATCTCTAATATCTCTCAATCACATATTCTTAATATATTATTCCTAATATAACTATAACATCATAAATCTCCATAATATATTCCTTAACACAACTCCTCAAGCTAGAGCATTTATATCATATATGTTACCTCATTGCGGTAGTCTTGATATTCGTATCTTCCACTAAAATTCAAATAAATTTATCCTCCATCGAATTCCACTAAACAAGAGCTCCCCTCCAAAATCCACCAAACAAATGATCCTCTGATGGATTCAACAAACAAATGATCATTCTCATAGATCCACCAAACAAATGATTCTTTCAGGGATCTAACAAACAAATGATCATTACTTAGGGAGTTGCCAAACAAATGATCCCTCTTTAGAGATCCACCAGACAAATGAAGCCGAGAGAACAATCTTAACTAAACCAAACTCAAACAAACCAACGAAACAATCTCCTTCTAATCAATCTTCAAAATCTAATAAAAAAACTAACAAAACAATATTATTCTGCATCAATCTCAAAATACGTCAACATAGCATCACCCTACCATTCTTTCAAACCAACCAAATGTCAAACACCTCTCCTCCATTCTCAAACAAGCCAACCAACACATAACAAAGTTCAAGTCCAACCTCAAAGATCAAAATAAAACAAATTACTTTGAAATCCAACCTCAACCACATGAAACAAAATCCAAACCAAATCCTTATTCAATCAAAATCCTTTTGTCCTTCCTTTTTTCCCCTTTTCCACTACTTTTCCTTTCCTTTTTTCCTTCCTTTTTTCCCTTTTTTTATTCTCTTTTTTTTGTTTCTTTTACTTGTAGCTAATGGTGGCCAAGGTTTCTAGAGGACAAGCGTTAACGGAGGTGGTGTCCACAAGTTATATAGGTGTGAATGAAGGCAAATCGAGGTGGCATAAGCAACAATGAGAACATGTACATTACGAACGACTTTTGCTACCAATAATGACAATCTTAATCATGACGTGCCTATCAAAAGTAGAGCGAACAAGAATTCGCAATTGTTTACGGAAAACAGTAACCACAGCACTGTTTACAACGAACAGCCACCATGGAACTATTCATCATGAACAGTAAGTCGGCGCTTTACTGTTTATACAGTAAACAACAGAAAAAAGGACGATGTAAAGACAGTGAGGAGTTTGTGATGAGGGCATTGGGGGCTAGAGTTTTATGAGGATTTAGGATTTTGTGGAGTCTA